GACGTACTGCGGGAGGTTCTGCTGGAGCCATCACAGCCTGGAAATGCGCGCCTCGCCCGGGGGATGGCGCGCCCATCCGCCCCAACAGCGACGCTCATATACTTCCCAGACGTCTGAACCTGGAAGCCCCTCGCGTTCATGCCCTGGCTCCTGAATATCCTCCGGGCCTCCGAGAGTTCAATGCCGCCAAGGAGGAAGACCGCGGTCTTAGCAGCGTTCAGGAGCGCGCCCGTCGCTTCGGCGCTTTGGACAAGCAGCTTCGCCTCGCGCGGGAGATCGGACAAAATTATTGCAGAGATAAATGCGAGATCATCAGCAAAGCCTGCCAGGTCGGCCTCCGGACGCGCGACCAGTGCCCTGGGGAGGAACAACCAAAAACATTGTTGGGGCGAAGCGCCCCGCGAAGAGTGCGCCTGCAAGAGGGCAGCTCTGCCGAGTCCCTCGCTCGAGCTCGAGGGCGGGTGCGATCGGCGAGGGGGCGGCCTATCGCGGCAGCGATCATCGCCAGGAGCTCTGGCACCCTCGGGGCGACGCGGGCCAGGGTCGCGCGCGGGGAGAGGGCGCGCCAAGGCCCGCGTTGAAGTCCTTCGGGGGCTCTCCGCCCTTCGCAAGATGCTCGCGCGGTCCGAGAATGATGCCAGTGGCAACCTCGCCCGCCTCCTGGAGCGCGCTGCAAGGGGCCCTTCTTTCGGGGCCTGGGCTGGAGTCTCGGGGCCGAGTCATCGCGTCGGCGAAGAGGGGCCTCGACAGGAACCGCTGGACACCCTCGGGCGCTTTCTGGCTGAACGGGTCACATGTCTCAAGGGCGTCGGAGTCCGGCTGCCGGCGGCGGGCGACGCACCCCCAGCGTCGGCCTCGGCGCTTGGCGCGCGGTCCGCGACGGCCCCGCCTGCCTCGTCGATCGCAAAGGCGAGCGCGACAGAACTGCGGGAGCAAGCCCAGGCGGGCCCGAACTCCTTCAAACGTAGCATCTTCCCCCCTCTCGCGCGTTCAGACAGGCTTGGGCCCGCCAGGCATTGATGCCGAACCTTAGCAGCTAATGCTTCATGAAAATCATCGGGGCGGGACCGCTGCCATGCCTGGAGGTCGCAGCGCCCCCCGAGAATAGAACCTGCCCGAACAGCTCTCTGAACCGTGGACCAGCCCCCGCGATGGAGCCACCGAACCAGAGCAAGCATCCAGGAAACCTCTTCGGCCATGAACCCACGGCCTTCCGACCCCCTCATCCTCGTGGTTTTCTGAGCGGCCTCATATAGAACATCCTTGAGGTCACGTGGCCAGGAACGTAGGTCGTCGCTGGGGTTCTACTGCGTGGTGAGCTCCACGGCCTCTTCGAACGTTCGCAGCCTGCGCGCCCACTTCGGAACGTTCCTGGCCCCCGAGCCTTCCCCACCCCCCGAGTTCGCGAAATAAGAGCAACCGCCGCATAGTCACTTGGAATGACGTCGCAGCTGATGTCTCACAGGGCACCCGAGAGAGGCCGCAGCTGCAATGGCGACGTGGTGGCGATCTTACAATGGATCCGATCCAGGCGGCCCGGGGAAACCAGAAGCCCACGTTGCACGCGTTTGCGCGCGCGCTCGCTCTGGCGAGCCCCAGCAAGGCCAAGGGTAACACCGTGCGCATGAACAGCAAGCGAAGTCTGCGGAGTCTCCTGGCCAAGGCAATTTGCGAGCAACGATGCGCGACCACGCATCCTTCTGCACAAGGATAGAGAGTTTTGAACCCACGCGCGCTCCGCAAATTTGTAGCCTTCCGGGTGCTCCTGCAAACTCCAGTGCACCAACCCGTCCACCAGCCGGCGGCCGGCAGGCGAGCCCGCATCAGCATGGCCAGGCCGCCAGCGAAGCTAGACTTCCAGAACGGGCCTGAACTGACAGGCAGCATGGGTGGCCCCCCCGACCCGAGGTCAGAATCAGGACAACGGTCAGAGCTGCTGCTCTGCTCTCCAAGAGGAGGAATAAAAGGCCCCGCTCGACCCAGACGAAGACAAGGAAGAGCTGAATGAGGGGGACACATCAAGGCGGCACATGTACCGCTGTCGCCGAAAATGTCTGCATAGCGTTCGCTCCGACTTCCTGCGCGGACCCAAACATGCACGCTGGCATCAACTGCGCTGCAAGATGCGGAAAGATAATGCCCAGGACAAGAGAGCGACATAACCCCAGCGAGCGCCCTCTGAAGCATATTTAGTCAATCCCGTAGAAGCATCCCCCACTGGCTGGTGGCCCCAGCCGTTGCTGCCTCAACGAGCTCCTGAACGGCCTGGCCGTTGATGCCACACCGAATTGCTCTTGGCACGGGTTGAACGTGCAGCCCTGCGCATCCGAACCCTCGATCTTCTACAACTCGAAGATGTCATCGTCCGAGATCCAGCTGATGAGCCCCTGACAGCCCTTGCAGCCCAGCTTGTAGCCGCGCATCTCTGTACCTGAAGCTATCAGCAGCTGCATGGCGCCCTCCCAGATGAGCGCAGCCGCGCGCTGGCGCGCGCGAACATCGAGCGGAAGATCGCCTGAGACTCTGATGGCGTGCCCTCGCTGGTCTATGGGGTCGGCCCATATCAGCTGGCGGCCCGCAAGGAAGTTCTGCAGCTCGCGCGAGGCCACCTCGGCCACGAAGTCCACCGCGAAGTTCTTCCCTGTCCTCGGAAAGTGATCGGAAGTGGGCTGCCCCCGCAGGAGCGGAAAAACGGTCGCCTGTCGACCAGGCGCGGGACGCCTCGACGCGCCCCCTTGGCAGCGACCAAGCACGAAACGCCACGGTCGCACGTTTCGCACTTGAGCCAAAATGTCGACGGAAGGAGGAGGGAAAGGATGAGGAGGAGGGGGAGGAAGAGCGGGGTCCAGCGCAAACCCATGATTCATCAATAATGTTAGAATAGACCATCCCTCCAAGCTCCCTCTTAATAGGCCCCTAGAAAGATTCATTTCCACAGGGCGGAATGCCCCATTGGGAAACAACCGTTTGAAGATCCTGAAGCGTGCCAAAACATCACTCTCGGGACTCCAACGTCACAAGTCAACCTGACTGTTGCGTCTTGACGGCCCTGAACCGTGCCAAAACATCATTCTGGAGACTTCGACACCGCAAATCAATGTAACTGTTGAGCCTTGACTACCCGGAACCGCTCCAAAATAGAATTTCTGGTGCGCTAACAATGAGAATCCAGGAAACTCCTAAAACACACAGATCGAATGTGCGCGGCGCTACAGCGAGAACCACGTGTTGCCTACAATCCGTTAAGCTCATGCAATGTTTTAAGACGAATGTGCGCGGCGCCAAAGCGAGAGCCACATTTTGAGAATGACCCGCCCTCACTCCGAGAAGCTCTTGCAAGTGTTTGCGACGAATCTGCGCGGCGCTAAAGCGAGAGCTACAGTTTGGAAGCGGCCCGCCCTCCACATGCGGAATGCTGCCATTTGCAAGCTTTAAGACCATATATGGAAACGAAAACTCAGGCGAAACGCCAGGACCGCCTTTCCGACTAGCCCCGGCGTGCGACAGGGAGGAACTTTTCATAAGGAAAAGGAATGGAGGAGACGAAGGAGGAGCAGGACGAAGAGGGGACGAGCAGGACGAGGAGGGGACGATGCTATGGAGGACGAGGACCAAGAGGAGCAGGACGAAGGGCAGAAGGAGCAGGGCAAGGAGGGGGAGGAGGCTGGAGGAGGATGGGAGAGGGGCGGGAGGAAGAGGATGAGGGCAAGGCGCCCGTCGCGAGACGGAGCCGCACCCAGCGCTGAGGTAGGGGAGGCGAGGAACGAGGCAGAGGAGCCGGGAGGGGGAGGTGCCGGCTCCGAGGCCCCGCGCACGTGGCGGCCCCCCCATGCCCTTGATCGCAGGTCGCGCGACATCGGGAATCCATGATAGCGGGCGGGCGCCTCGATGAAGGGCACAAATCCAGTCACGCTTCAGTGCCTGTGCGACCCCGTCGGAGTGGTCGGGGAGGCCGACCCACCGGAGCAGCACCTCGTCAGCGACCTCGGTGCGCGGGTAGTGCACGCCGTGAGCAGTGCGCTGGAGGCCAACCTTGCGGAGGACTGCTGCGACGAGATGGAGGGGCCCATCGTGAGCGGCGAGGTACACGACGAGAGCGCCGTGCTGGAGGAGCACGACGGGAGCGACGAGCTGGAGGTGTCCACTGGGGGCCGAGACGTCGCCTCCTTCGGCGAACTCATCGGGCCTGGCGGGCCCCGCGGGGGCTCATCGGGAACCCTCGGCAGAACCACCACTGTGCGCGCCCTCGGCGGAGCCGCGTGCGGTGGGAAGGCCATCTAAGAGGGTGCTCCTCCTCCCAGCCACTCCCACGTGGCGCCGTCTGCCGATGCTATTGCGTCGAGGACCTGGGCGACGTGAAGGGCTACTGGCTCGCCGACGTCGACGCAATGGAGCTGGCTGCCCTCGGCAGCCGCCCGTGGAGTGGGCGGCCGCCTGCCCGCCCGCGAGCGCAGGGCGCGCCCGCGCGCGGCAGGCGCCGACTGGCGGCGCGGACAACGGGCGTCGCGGACACGACACCGCCCCGTCCGCCAGCCTGCGCGCCCTCCCCCTCCTGCTCCTCCTGCTCCTCCTGCTCCTCCTGCTCCTCCTCCTGCTCCTCCTCCTGCTCCTCCTCCTCCTCCTCCACCTCCTCCTCCTCCTCCTCTCCGTGACCTCGCTGCGGGCCTCTGGTGACCTGCCTGCGGGCGCGGCCGGCCCCGCGAGGACAGAGAGGTGCATCGAGCGCGGTGACCGTTTCGGAGCGAGCGGGAAGGCTCCGTGACCGATCCAGAACGCTCCGGGAGGACGCATCTTCATCCCAGGCCTGCCCGAGGCTCGCTCCTGGACCCTGATCGCAGGTCGACTCGGTCCGCTGCAGGACCGGATCGGCCGCATGCCGAGCCCCGTCCGAGGAAAGGGGGGAGGGTCGTCGCCGATAGGGGGTTGCACGCGGACCGATCGCATCGGTCGACATCACGGGGGGGGAGCCGCCCACTGAGTGGTCGAATCGATCGATCGATGCCGCGCGCGGACGTTGGCACATGTCGTCGAGCCGATCGGGTGAAGAATGGACCACTTCACGCCGGGCGCCTGGCGCGGCTCAATTGTCCGGCATGTCGAGCTTGTCATAGCCGAGTCGACGGACCTCGGACTCGTACAGCTCGCGCTCGTGGGGGACCTTGTCGCCCCACATCTCGTACTGCCCAGCCGCCGCGGGGTCGCACGACCCCACGGCCACCTTCTTTGACAACAGGCCCGCCATGGGCTTGCCGAAGCATGTTTTGCTGGGGCCCAGCCCCTTCTCGATTGTGCCGTCTGGCCGCCATCGATAGTGCTGGTTGGTGTTCCTGCCAGTCACGTCGCAGGAGTACGTGTGTGGGACCCCGTCCTTGACATAGTCCAGGCAATCGTTGCTCCCGAACATACGAATCCCAGAGCAGCACTTTCCCCCCTTCTCCTCCTGGTCTTGGTTGCCAAGCTGGACTACCTGTTTCTTCTTGCTCTCGTCGCAGCCCTCCAGCGCCAGGCCTCCCCAACCAAAGCTGAGGCACAGGCCGCTGGTCTTCTCCCTGATGTGGAACACCCTCTCTGGGATAACGCCCGCATCGATGTAGACGTGGCGGAACCGCCAAAGGAAGAAAGCGAACGGCTTGCAGCCCAGGGACTCCTTCACCGGGTCGTAGTTCTTCACCTCGTCCTGCTGGATCTTCCTGCCTTGATACTTCTCCGCGAAGACGTCGTACCATGCAGCAACCACGCGCGCCCGGTTGTCGACGTGGCCGCCTCTGCCATGGTAGTGCGCCCGCGTGCGGGAGTCGCCGGTGCGCCACATGTGAGCGATCCTGCTGGTTTTGGCCCGCATTATCTCACCGCCGCACAGCCAACTGCGCAGGGATTGGTCGAGATTCTCGCCTCCCCAGCCCCTCATTACGTCGTCGAAGCCGCCGGTTGCGTTAAACCACCATCGCGACATGGCAACCAGGCCGCCGCTTATCGTGGGTATGTAGTCCGACTCGTCATCGAACCACTTGAAATCAGCGTCCCAGGTGAGGTAGCACTTGGCGTTCACAGCGCTGTTTACTTTCTCGTCGAAGGTATCCAGGTCCAGGTCCGTGATCGCAGGGACCACCATTCGGCGGGGATTCGCCCTGATCTTCGCAAATATCTCGTCGGCCCAGCCGGGCTTCGGCGAGACGTGGCAATCGAAGAAAGCAACCACATCTCCCTTTGCGTTTCTGCCGCCAGTCTGCTTGGCATTCATGAGCCCCGTTGTGACCTCGTGCCGCAGCATCCTGACCTTGCACCTCTCCATGTTGAACCCCTTCTCCTTGAAGAGCTCCACAAGCGGCGGGCTGCTACCGTCGTCCACGACCAGGATCTCGGCCAGCCAGTCCTCTGGCGTGCGCTCGCAGAAGCGCGACGCGGTCTTGATCGCGAGCTCCCTTTCCTGAGGGGGCAGGCGTCGGCACACACCACGCCGATCCTGGCCAGGCCCACTCTGAGCTCAGCCCCTGCTGCATGCGCCCTCCTTGGCTTGGCCAGGAAGGCACCTGCCCCGATCCTGGGCACGGGAGGGGCGTGACCAGGATCGGAGGGGGGCTCCTGGGTACTTCGGAGTTGCTTCTTGGGGCCCCGTGGGAGTCCCCAGTGGGCCTCTTGGGGGCCATTTGGGGCTTGCTGGAGGCCTCTGGAGGGCCTCTTGGGAACTCCTGGGGCCGTCTTGGGGCCCTCTGTTGGGCGAGGGCTCGAAGTGTCAGCTCGAACCACGCGTGCGCTTCGCGCGCGCCTAGGTTCTTGTCGATTCTGGACGCGGCTTCAGTATCTAAACGAGTTGTCCCGCGGGTTATTGCAGGCGCCTCCCGTTGACGCATAGTTGATGTTTGGGCGGAACACGGGGCGGGGGCGCAGGGCAGAGGGCAGCCAGCCGTCGTCGAAGTCGCCGCCGTCGTCGCCGTCGTCGTCGCCGTCGCCGTCGCCGTCGCCGTCGTCGTCGCCGTCGTCGCTGTCGTCGTCGTCATTGTCTTCCTCGGCCCAAATCCGCTCATGCAGCCTCCGTAGATCCTTCCCGGGGTCCAAACGCACGGGTTTTTCGAGTCGCGTCCAGCCGTGGCGACGAGGGGCGGGCCTCAGCAGGCTCTTCAGCCCTCGACCTCGACCCTGGATCCTGGAGCGTTCAACCTCCCAGTAACCCGCGGCTGGATGTGAGGTCGCGCCGATCCCGCCGGCCTCCGGGGCCTCGCCGCAGCCATTTTGGCTCGGCCTGCTTCGCGGGCGAAGCGGTGGGCCAGCCGCCGGCGCCCTGGTCGCTGCATCAGGCCCGCCGTCGTCGTCGTCGTCGTCGTCGTCGTCGTCGTCGTCGTCGTCGTCGTCGTCGTCGTCGTCGTCGTCGTCCGCGGCCCCAGTTGGACGATCCAGGGTCGGGCGTGCTATCGCGCTGGAGCCCCTGGGAGGCCCTTTTCTTAATCCAAGAGCGTCGTGAATCGACCCAATACGAAGAACCGGCCCTGGGTTGCTCCTCCTGACATTCACGCTCCTGCCCCTGTTCCTGGCTTTTCTTCCCGTCCTCCTCCTCCTCTCCCCCCCCTCCTCTCCTTTCTCCTCCGTTCCGTCCGATTCCGGCTCCCCGCCCGTCTCCCTCGGGAAGCGTCGTGGCGGGCGCGGGGCGCAGCGCCTGTCGCCTTATCCTCTCCCGCCCGTTTCTCCAACACCTCGTCCTGCTCCTCTCGTCCTTTCCCTCGTCTTTGTCCTTGTCCTCGCGGTTGTCTGGGGGGGCGGAGGCATAAGATATCGTGTTCCCTGCGAACTCTGTGGGGAAATGAAGTGTTGGGCTGTCTCGGGGGGCATCCCGGGGCTTCCCTTTGGGGACCCTTGGGGACTTCCTGGGATCTCGTGGGGAGCTCATCCTCATCCTCAGCTTCGTCATCGCCATCGTAATCGCTGTCGTCGTCGTCGTCGTCGTCATCATCATCATCATCATCATCATCATCATCATCATCATCATCGTCGTCGCCGTCCGCCTCAGCATCATCACCATCATCACCATCATCACCATCATCACCATCATCACCATCACCGTCACCATCACCATCACCATCACCATCACCATCACCATCACCATCACCATCACCATCACCATCATCATCATCATCATCATCATCATCATCAGCATCATCATCATCATCATCATCATCATCATCATCATCAATATGAGCATCAACATCCACACCATCATTATCCTCCGCATCGTCCTCCTCCTCCTCATCATCAGCGTCGTCGTGGATATCGTCGTCAGCATCATCACAGCCATCACGATCACCATCACCATCATCATCGTCACCTTCGTCATCATCATCGTCATCATCAGCATCTCGTGGGGTTTCTAAGAAAGTACTTGACGGCCCATTCGAGTCCTGCTTGACAGGCGCTTTGGGACAGATGTTGCGCGCGGGGAGCGGAAACCTGAGGAATCATGTTATCAGAGAGCTTTCTGGTAACATGATGACGCGTATGAGGGCCCATTGGGGGACTGCCCGGCACACATATTGGGACGCATGGTTGGGGCTGGGGGCGGAAGCCTGAGGAATCATGTTCCCGGAAGGCTTCCCGGGAACATGATTTGTTGGGGTGTCGTAGGGCGCCCCTGGAGGCTTCGGGGCCTGAGGCGTTTCCGAGCGTGGCGGCAGGTAGCGCTGCATGGGACTCTCGTTTTTTTCCCAACCCTCCTGCGTTGGGTACTCGTTTTGAATAGAGCACTGCGGTCTCCACCTTCCTTCCTTCCCGCCTCCTCCTCCTCTCTTCCCTCTTCCTCTCCTCTCTTGCTTCCCTTCTCCGCCTCTCTTCGCTCCTCCTCTTCTCTCTTGCATCCCTTCTCCTCTCTTCGCTCCTCCTCTCTTGCTTCCCTTCTCCTCCTCTCTTCGCTCCTCCTCTTCTCTCTTGCCTTTTACGTCATCCCTTTGGGGCTGCGATCTGTGAAACTGTCGCCACTTTCGAGGGCTGCTGGTGGGTCCAGCGGAGTGAGGCACCACGCAGATTCAGATTAGACCTCGCCATCCCTGGGGGGCTGCGATCTGCGAAACTGTCACCACTTTCGAGGGCTGCTGGTGGGTCCAGCGGAGTGAGGCACCACGCAGATTCAGATTAGACCTCGCCATCCCTGGGGGGCTGCGATCTGCGACACTGACGCCACATTCGAGGGCTGCTGGTGGGTCCAGCGGAGTGAGGCACCACGCATATTCAGATTAGACCTCGACTTTCGAGGGCTGCTGGTGGGTCCAGCGGAGTGAGGCACCACGCAGATTCAGATTAGACCTCGCCATCCCTGGGGGTTTGCGATCTGCGAAATTGTCGTCACTTTCGAGGGCTGCTGGTGGGTCCAGCGGAGTGAGGCACCACGCAGATTCAGATTAGACCTCGCCGTCCCTGGGGGGCTGCGATCTGCGAAACTGTCGTCACTTTCGAGGGCTGCTGGTGGGTCCAGCGGAGTGAGGCACCACGCAGATTCAGATTAGACCTCGCCATCCCTGGGGGGCTGCGATCTGCGACACTGACGCCACATTCGAGGGCTGCTGGTGGGTCCAGCGGAGTGAGGCACCACGCAGATTCAGATTAGACCTCGCCATCCTTGGGGGGCTGCGATCTGCGAAACTGTCGCCACATTCGAGGGCTGAGGGTGGGTCCAGCGGAGTGAGGCACCACGCAGATTCAGATTAGACCTCGCCATCCCTGGGGGGCTGCGATCTGCGACACTGACGCCACATTCGAGGGCTGCTGGTTGCGAAACTGTCGCCACATTCGAGGGCTGCTGGTGGGTCCAGCGGGGTGAGGCACCACGCAGATTCAGATTAGACCTCGCCATCCCTGGGGGGCTGCGATCTGCGAAACTGTCGCCACATTCGAGGGCTGCTGGTGGGTCCAGCGGAGTGAGGCACCACGCAGATTCAGATTAGACCTCGCCACCCCTGGGGGTCTGCGATCTGCTAAACGGTCACCACTTCTGTGAAATCTCGATCGCTTCCTGCACTAGATATAAACAGGTATGATCCTGTGGACAGGCAGCAGGCATGCGTTGACCGAGCTCCTGCAAAAACGAAACAGTCTCTTGCTTCCTCCCTCCTCTTTCATCATCGCCGCCCTAGTCCTCCTGTTACCTTATGCATTCATGGTGCTGCTGCTGCGATGGCTCCTCGCCCCTTCCTACTGGGTTCGTCCTTCTCCTGTCCCTCGTTCCCGCCCCCGCCATTGTTTAACAAGCCTTGAGACATACTCCTCGTCTTATCGATTGCTGTTCTGTGGGTCGTGCAACATTACGCATCCCATGTAGGTCGCACTACAAATCGCCGCGCCTGCACTGTCACGGTTCCTGCTAATGTTTCCCTACTCCGCTTGCCACTTGGTGCCATTGGGTTGGGTACGTCGCAGGGTAATTTCCCAACCCTCCTTGGTTGGGTATTCGTTTTGAATAGAGCAGTGTGGTCTCCACTCCTTCCTCCTCCTCCCTCCCTCCCTGCCTCTTCCTGTCTTGACTGCGGGGGGCTGCGATCTGTGAAACTGTCGCCATTTTCGAGGCCTGCTTGAGGGCCACGAGGCCTGCTCGGGGCCCAGCACAGTGAGGGCCACGCGCGGATTCAAATTAGACCTCGCCATCCCTGGGGGGCTGCGATCTGTGAAACTGTCGCCATTTTCGAGGCCTGCTGGGGGGCCCAGCACAGTGAGGGCCACGCGCAGATTCAAATTAGACCTCGCCATCCCTGGGGGGCTGCGATCTGTGAAACTGTCGCCATTTTCGAGGCCTGCTGGGGGGCCCAGCACAGTGAGGGCACGCGCAGATTCAAATTAGACCTCGCCATCCCTGGGGGGCTGCGATCTGTGAAACTGTCGCCATTTTCGAGGCCTGCTGGGGGGCCCAGCACAGTGAGGGCCACGCGCGGATTCAAATTAGACCTCGCCATCCCTGGGGGGCTGCGATCTGTGAAACTGTCGCCACTTTCGAGGCCTGCTGGGGGGCCCAGCACAGTGAGGGCCACGGGCAGATTCAAATTAGACCTCGCCATCCCTGGGGGGCTGCGATCTGTGAAACTGTCGCCACTTTCGAGGCCTGCTGGGGGGCCCAGCACAGTGAGGGCCACGCGCGGATTCAAATTAGACCTCGCCATCCCTGGGGGGCTGCGATCTGTGAAACGGTCGCCACTTTCGAGGCCTGCTGGGGGGCCCCGCACAGTAGGTACTCACCGCGGATTCAAGTTAGACCTCGTCATCCCTGGGTGGGCTGCGATCTGTGAAACTGTCGGAAAAAAAGGCCTGCAGGGGGGCCCAGCGCAGTTGGTATTCACCGCGGATTCAACTTAGACCTCGCCACCCCTGGGGGGCTGCGATCTGTGAAACTGTCGCCACTCGAGGCCTGCTGGGGGGCCCAGCACATTGGGCACTCACCGCGGATTCAAATTAGAC